TGGAGCCTGCCCCAGCCGCAGCTCTTGGGCAGGCCACCAGCAGCAGCTCAGTGTGTTTGCCTTTTCTGCTACTGTACTACACACGGGAAATTCGCAAAACCTTCGCTGGCTCCTCGGCTCTGCCAGTCTTCACCTGGCAGGTCTGGAGGAGCAGCTGGTTTCCTCTGCACCTTTCCTCATCCCAGCTGCAGAAAGCAATTCAAAACCAGCAGTGCTCTCAAGAGACGGTCTTGAATGAGGTGTCTTGTTATCACCAGCTGCTGTCACTGGACTGCTCAGTTTACCCATTAGATCCAGAGCAGGTGTAAGCACACAACTTGTCAAGGTGCACAGTAAGGGTCCTTTTTTGTTATGCTGTCATCACGAGAACAGCAGGTGGACAGACAGCACCACAACCTGCCATAAAAGTTGAGCGTGGACTAAACACAGTCACCCTGCCTGATGAAAATTTTTCTGCAACAAAGATCCCCTGTAAAAATGTTCTCTGCAGACTACTTTGTGCTTTCCAGAATGTTTCTGGTCCTGTACATGGCTCAGCACCCTCAGGCATCACCCGTCATCTTTGCTGAACCATAGCTTCATGACTGCAAGCCCCTGCACCTTTGCCCATTGACACCTCTGATCGTAATCGCTGCCTGAGATGGCATCCAGGCACTGCTCTGTTAGACAATGCTGTATCACAGACCAGAGAGAAACTTGTTTTCATAAAGCTTTAGTGCCTTGAGGTAATGAAGTAAATCTATTAGCTAGCTATAGAAGTAGAGTTTTTGCTACTACATGGTCGTTGCTTGGAGGGAAATATAATGTATGTTTGCTTTACCATTGCCTCCACCCACTGCCTTAGACTGTGACAAGAGGTAAGGACCTAGCTTGGCCGGTCTTTGCCTTCCAGAGTTATCTGGTAACCAGAGGAGGGTATTGGAGAAATAAATTCTGTTTGCTTGTTGATGATCCTTTCTGTTTACAAGTCTTTATTCAGCCATGCTCTCCAACATTTTGGGAAGGGAGGTATGCATGAATACACCATTTTACCAGCCAGGCCATGAAGGATGGGGACCATCCACCCTGAGACAGCAAATTAATTCCTGGGTAAAACTTGAACCTTCTCTGTTGAAAACCTGGCTTTGCTTTTCCATGGGTTTCATGGGATTTGTAACTGACATGAGGCTGCAATTCCAGGCTGCAAAGAGCCAAGAGCTGTCTGAGCAAGAGCAACGCTGGAACTGGGCCTCACTCTCTGAGCAGCTCAAACTCCTGAGAAAAAAAATAGAGAAATCCACGTAGAGATACATATCCACCAGTCTGAGCCCACATGGTTAATATTAGGAGCAAGTGAAAACTTGAGGCTATGACAGAGAGGGCTGAGCTATGTTACCCAAAGGTGTCACACAGCCATGCACAGAAAACACATTTTCCAGGGAGAGCTGGCTGGCGACCAGAACCTGGACTGAGGGCAGAAGGATGGTGGGGAGGAAGGACATGGATGGGAGATGCTGTGAACCAGAATGGAGAGGCCACATTTCCAGAACCAAGAGCCGGAGAGGGGTTTGTAGCACCAGCAGGGTTGTTAGCTGCAGGGACAAGAAAAGAGAGGCTGCAGGGGCGAGGCTATTGCAGCAGCTATGGGGCAGGAGGCTCTTTTCAAGTGAATCTGCCTTCTCCCTCCCCAACCTGCCTCAGCCTCCCTGGTCCCTGAGGCTAGTATGCCAGGAGCCAAGGGAAGCACACCAGGGGGGTGCCAGTATTTGGGATGGAGCCAGGCTCCCCAGAGCTCCCAAGGGAGGACGGAGTCACCTTCCTGTCATCTCACACCACACAGGGAGACAGCAGGTGAACACCAGCCCCGAAGCGGTGAGGGACAGTTTCTGGAGCAAAAGTGGGGTGGGAAAGGGCAGCCCCCCTGGAGCCTCATCTTTGCCCTGGGGCTCTTCCCCCAATCCCTTCTGCCTTCAGTCCTTGCCATCAGCAGACACCTCTCCCCACCAGCAGCTTCCAAAAATATGCACCTTCTCTGGGACAGGGATGGTTTTAAGCCCAGCTCGCCAGTAACTTTTGCGGCACCAGGCACTTCCACGTGCCAGAGGACACAGGGTTTGCATCCAGCCATCCCCCTGCCCATGCACCCTGAAGCTTTTCCGCCCTCCTCCATCTCCCTGTCCCACTGTGTGCCCCCAGGGCACCTTCCCGCGGTCACTCCTCTTGGTTTGCTCACAGGCCCCCCCAAGCACAACCCCATTCAGCTCTCCCTCCCTGCTGTTTGTCCTCCATCCTTCCCTCCTCCTCCAGCCACCCTTTTCCCACGGGGAGCTGCAGCGCATCCCACCGTCCTGCAGCTCTCCCGCGGTGCCCCAGCGCTTTCCTCCTCCTCCTCCTGGGTTTTTTGGGTCTGGATTTGTTTTCTTTTTCCAAGAGAGGCTACTTCCACCTCCTCCTTGACTTTCCCCTTTCCAGTCTCCGTGGTGGACGTTTCCCGCCCTCCTCTCCCGTGCGGCTCCAGCACCCCTGCCTGGCAGCACGCGGGCAGTGCAGGCAGCGCCGCCCTGGGGTGCGGGCAGCGCTTTCCCGGGGTGCCCAGGTCCCTCCTGCGTTGAGGTCTGGGGACGCAGGTCACCCGTCGGACTTGCTCGGGCTGCAATGCAGGTCACAAGCTCCGTGAGCTTTATTTGGGAGCCCGGCGTAACCTGCGCGCGTTTGGAGAACTCATGCTTGGAACCGGTGCGTTTGCAGCTGGAACTCTGCATGTTAATTGGGGCTAGCTAACGAGCTCCCAGAGTAGGTAAGAATTTTGCACTTGCGCGTGGACCTGCTTGCGGCAGCAATTACAGCTTGCCTCAAGAGATTTAACCTCCTTCACGTAGCGGGCAAGGGGAAAAAACAGGGTTTTGTGTCAGGGAGGGAACCGCTTAGTGCAGCGGGCTGGGAAGGGGCTGGCAGGAGCCCTTGGCGGGGGCTGCCAGAGCTGCACTCACTTTCAAGCTGCGCCCAGAGAGTTGTTTCAGTGGTGACCAGGCTCCGCAAGTACCGGGACGAGGTTTTGCAAAAGAGCTGCTCCAGTCCTGGGTTTCCTTGGCACCTTCCTACTGTGGCAAACTCCTGCCTGCCCTCCTTCCCATTTCCACCACATTTGCCTGAATGCAGACTTGGAACAGCTTTGAGTCCCTGTGCCTTCTGACAGTGTACAGTCCACGCAACCGCCCGCTGCCCGTCTCCCTGTGAAAACCTTCCACTGCTCCACTGGGACTGGAGACATGTAAGGAGATGGACCTTTTGGAGGTGGGCAGGCTCCTCACCACTATATGCACATTAATATTTCTAATAGATAGTGCACTACCCTCTGCATTAGACTCTCTTTTTTCCTTTTTTGGTTCTAACTTTACAGTGAGGTCCCTTTCAGGATGTGGCACCGTGTCTTGGGGCTCTGTGGTCAATTCCTGCATTTTGTTGACACTAGCTAGCTCTGAAATATTGTCATTTTCACAACTGTTTGGTCTGAGTTGATA